CTCATCAAGACGTCTGCTGAGCAGCAGGGTGGCCAGTACATCAACAAAATACAGTGGTGCCTCGACTTACAAAATTAATCCGTATTGGAATGGTGGCTGTAACTCAAAAATTTCGTATGTTGAGGCACCATTTCCCATAGGAATGCACTGAAAACCATTTAATCCATTTCAGCCAAAGGGGGAAAAACCCACCTAAACAAATAAATAAATAAATAAATACAAACATACACACATAAAGAAAGAAAGAAAGCTGCCCGCACTGCCCTCTGTCTTCCAAAGCCACCCTCGCTGCCCTCTGCCTCCATCCCCTGCTACCTCTGTCGCTGCAAGAGGCAGCAGGGAACGGGAGGCAGAGTGTTGGGATCTGCAAGATGAGGGGAAGTAAGGGTCTTGCAGATGAAGTCTCAGTGCAGGAATTTGTAGATGAAACCTCCCCCTTGACCAGCAAGGGGAAAAAGAAGAGACAAGACACTCGAATGTAAGGCAGCTGTTCAGAGGGAACCTCTCGATCTCTCCCCTCCTCCTCTTTTATTGTTTTCCTATTACATTTGCTCTAGTTAATCAATACTATTTTAACCACAGGCATTTAATTTCCTGAATACACAGCCAGAATCAACAGGCTGGTAAACATTCCTGAATATAGAGCAGGGTAAACATAGACAGTTAACACCTTAAGTACACAAATAAGTTAATACAATTTACCCAGAAACAGGAAATTCCTAAATACACAGGCAAGTTAATCAACTCAGAGACAGATAATTTTTGAATACACCAGCAAACAGGTTAATCATCCACCTTTGCCATACGTGACTTGTACGGTTCCCCACAATGGCTGCTGACACCACAAACACATATCTGACAAAAGCATATATTTTCCCACAGCAGAGGGCAATGGGGATGGCTTTGGAAGCCCGGTTTCCCGGACTTCCAAAACTGCTCCGACCGCCACACCAGGTGCCAGCTTCCCGAGCTTCCAAAACACACAGTGCGGCGGTCAGGGCGGCGTTGGAAGCCCAGGAGGCTGAGCATCCCTTTTCCTAACCATTGGGGCAAAGAAGAAGCCTCTTCTTCACCATCAACAGTTAGTAAACTTAAATTTCCCGCCCTTTTCCCCTGCCTTTTTTCTTTCGTAGGTCGAAGCTCTGGCCACAAGTAGAAGCAAAATTTTTCGGCCGGAGTTTTTCGTAACTCGAAATTTTCGTAAGTAGGGACGTTCGTAAGTCAAGGCCCCACTGTACTATCCTCAGCACCCACCTTTATGTATACACACTCAATCCCAGCAGACTGTGGCTAAGTCAAGGCCCCACTGTACTATCCTAAGCACCCACCTTTACGTATACACACTCAATCCCAGCAGACTGTGGGTCAGGGCACTTGATAAGGGGGGCAGAATCAGAATAGACCACTGCAAATACACCTCCCTGTCCCCTTTGGCTTGCCTGCTGCTGAACAAATCTCTAGCTGATGGGTAGAGATTACAAGCCACTCATCCCCAGTTTCTTTCAGCCAAGTTTTTGTAATACAGGCCAGGTCAGCAAGTTCACTGAATGGCTATTGGTTTTCCCTTTACCAACCTAGCATTTAAGAACAGCAGTTTTTGGCCAAAGGAGCTTGCTGCTACTTGAAATAAAGGACAAGGTGGATGTGACCAGAACTCAGTTGTGCACCCCTCACACACAGTATTGAAACTGCTGCCCCACTCCAGACCTCCCCCTGCTGAAAAAGGTTTTGATGGGAACTTGCTGGTTCACTTCATCTCTCTCTGCCACTCTGCAGTGGCTCACATACAAAAAAACTGAAGTGGCACGCAGGCAGTAGAGTCCTTCCCGTTCCTCTACTCAGCAGGAATTGGTCCTTGCCCTCAGCTCCCACTTCAGCAGGTACCCTTAAAAAAGGCATCCCTTCTAGTAGCATCTGCGTGGAGTGCTGCTCCCCCCATCCCCCAGTTGCACAGAAGTGATGCATGCAAGGAAAAGGAGTAGGCTGGTACTAGCTGACTAGAAAAAGCTGAGTCACACCACTTAGTGGCCTGATCCTGCAAGGAGGTACAGGCTTCTGAAGGCAACAAGCAGCAGCAAAACAAGGCTGGGTGGTCGATCTTGCCTACCAAATGTTTCTCTAGAGCAGCCTCTTAACAGTGTGTGCTGCTTTCTACCAAGTGTCAGTATCTAAGGTTGATACCCTGTTGCTTGCAAACTGCTGTGGAATAGTCTGTCCCACACATAGTTTCCCCTACTCTACTATTCATGCAAGGGTGAATCAGCAACCCTTTGTGTGAGCAGAATGCCAGTTTAAAGCATGAGAACTTTCTCTGACTTCAGTAACTGCAAGCTGGAGTTCAGCAAAGTTCAAGCAGAATGCTCGGCACACAGAGTTTTTACACTCTAAGAGGAGGAACAGGATACTAGTCAAAGTACAGTAGTTGGCTGTTAAATGGTAAAATCACACAAGCAGTTGTAATGTTATGTTCAAGGAAGTCTCTATTTTTGCCACACAAACTCCCCAGTTATTTATTTATTTATTTATTATTAATCAACAGTATTTTTCAGTAACTGGCATTCTCTAGATGATTAAAAATAAGATTTAAAATGAACATAAATTTAAAATAAAAATAACCTAAATGTGTTTAAAAAAAAAGATAAACAGCAGCAAAATAGAAACATACAGAGCTAAGACGCTAGAAGGTCTTATGTTTAAAATGCTGGAGAAATAAAGGATTGCAAGCCAGTATCAAACTGTAGGATTAACATTAGGTGAGTTTTCCTGATAAAGACATTCCACAACTAGGAAACTATTACTGAAAAACCTCTTTCTCAATATCCACTAACATTTTTTTGATGACAATACACAGGTCTCTGAAGATGGTTTCATTAACTGGAACCATGGAAGGGTTGCAAAATTCTGATTATGTGGCACATAAAGGAATCAATTTGCACCAAGAGACGACTATACCACATATATTAATACCGTAAATTTCCTGCAATATACATGCTGCTTTACGTATGCTGACCTGGAGTTGTTCCAGAAGTATATTTATTTAAAATATCTTAAATGGTGCATTGACGGTGAAGGCCCTCTCCTGTGTCTCCACCAAATTGTCTGTATAAATGTGTGTCTTTGTGTGTGTATATATATATGATATGTCAAATCACATTTTCAGTAAATTTTCTAGGACTGCACGTGCAGGCACTTTACAATATATATGTATGGGAATCATAAGCAATTTTTAACAGATGATGTGGCTGTCTTAGTCCTCCCACCAATTTTTTTTAATCACTGTAGCTTGAAGTTGTTTACTTACTATAGTGGAGAAGGCAGTTAAATTTCACATTCATTCAAAGATCAACAATATATCTGGCTACACATCTCCAATCAACACCCTGTTCCCCAAAAATAAGCCCTAACCTGAAAATAAGCCCTAGTATGATTTTTCAGGGTGCTCCTAAAATAAGCCTTACCGCAAAAGTAAGCCCTAGTTAAATAAAAACCCATCCTCCATCATTGTGCCGCAACCAGATGACATGACTGTATCTGAATAAATGTAGATAAATGTACATGACAAAAATAAAACATCCCCTGAAAATAAGCCCTAATGCATTTTTGGAGCAAACATTAATATAAGACCCTGCCTTATTTTCAGGGAAACACGGTAATCTAGTTTTATGTTATCTTCAGTATTTGGTAATAGCACACAGAAATTTCTCCTTCAAAAATTATCTGGTTCCAATAAAAAAAACCTTTCTTTCTGTGCTGTATCCCATATTGCCTAATCTTAATCTCCAAAGTGGCTGTGGTATAAAAATGCTCATTAGCAGCCAACACAACCTTAGATTTAGTTCTCTTAGACAAAATGTTTATTTTTTATTCTCCGACTATCATTTCTATTTTAACAACTGTGAGATGGAAAACCTGCAGCACCATAACAGTGAACTCTTGGGATGCAAGTAACCTTCAGCCTGATGTCATACAGATCTTTGACTAATTTCAAAAGCATTCCTCAAATGCAAGAGTGATCTGTTCCTTTTCTAGCATCCCATGATTTAGTGCAAGAGAAAGAGATTTCATTGAAAAAGAAAAGGTGTGGGGGCTAGACCTCTCTTGGTGCTGTCCACCAATGCCTCCAGCTTCACCACAGCCAGTGAGACGCAGACAGATTACTGTATACCTGAAGAAATGTAACTCTTGACAGAAATAGATTTGCTGTCCTTTTCAGATATAAAAACATTATATAATTAACATCTGTAGTCCAAAGCATCTAAGAGTACTACGGTGGAGAAGGCTGCTCTAAGCCATTAGAGCAGTTGCAATAAAAATACTGAATGTTGTGTTAATGCTCTTGTAAGCAGATTCAAAACAAAATTTTACTATTGCATGATTGTGTTCCCCCCCCCACAAAGCTAAATTCTACTGATTAGAAGATAACTGCAATGTCAAGCTAGCCATCAAAAAGTAAACAGCAAGACAAGTTTCATGTCATCTTACATGATATTCACTTGGATTATTTTATCCATTCAGTTATGGCAAATCAACAACTAAATAATCAAATAATAAGGATCAAGCAATGTACATTAGTTCCCTCTTTCAGTGGTAAAAAAAGAACTTTTGGCAGACACCTTCCTCATCACAACACACCTTAAGATGGTCATTCTAACATAAAAGGCAAATGAGTCATTAATACTTTCCCACGAAAAATAAAAAAAATCCACTAAAACCTTTTCTTTCTTTCTTTCTTTGTTCACAAAAGCAAGGATTACAGGCACTTCTTGTTTGCAGAAACAAAGTCAATACACAGATTTAATGCTGTTGGACTGGTCCTCCTGCACTTGTTCAACTCAGAAGATACTCCTGTTAATATATTTAGTTACCGACCAAGATTCTACAGTCTCAAAACAGCCTGTACCTGTTATCATCCAACTTTTTATCCATTAAATATTTTTGCCAAAATGTTTTTCTTACAACTTGAAAGAAATAAAACACATGCCCAACATCATAATGTTTACCTGCTAGAAGATCAGAGGCATACATTGCGTGAATGACATAGTTGCCTTATTTAAACACGGTTAATGAATATTCCATTTCAAGAACTCAATGAGATGTCTTCTGATAGCTTCATTAAATTCTGTCAAAAAGAGGCACATGTAACTTGTCATCCAAAGTCACTTACATGATATCAGCCAAATTTTCCTTTAAAGTACATTTATCGCTTGATGCTACTCTAAATGTAAGACATTATGTACTCTTATGTTCTTCAACTGGAGTACTTGTTGAATAACAGACCAAATGTGACTTGTACTACTTCCTCTTAAGTGTATTTCTTGATACACAATTTCCTGAAGTGGCACCCACACCTATATAATGACAATTACTTCATTTATTTATTTATTTAATTTAACTTATATGCCGCCCACACTACGCAAAGGTCTCTGGGCAACTTACAGCAATTTAACTACAGCAAAAAAGATAAAATAATTAAAATACAATTAAAATCTATACTCTAAATGTTGCCATCAGGACCCACAGTTGATATTATTTCAATTACAATGGTACCTCGACTTACGAACTTAATCCGTTTTGGAACGATGTTTCTACATTGAACAGTTCATAAGTCAAAGTACCATTTCCCATTGAAATGCATGGGAACGGAATTAATCGGTTCCAGCATTTCAAAAGGCAAAAAGGCAGGGGGAAAGTACTGGAAATTCCAATTTCTTGCCCTTTCTCCCTGCTCTTTTGGCTTCAGAGGTATCAAACAACTTCCTCTGATGTTGGGGGGAAAGCCCT